ATTGTTATGTGCAGTAGATTTTTTTTTTTTTAAAGAAACTGACTACTCATGGGTGTTATTCTTTATTTTATTGTCCAATCTGTTATTTAACCAGCAAGTGACCTCGAGGGAAATTTTCAGCTTAAACTGTATCTTGGGGCAATAGTCCTCTAGTCTCAACCAGCCCAGTAAGTTCAGACTTTTTAAGAATTTAAGTTCTGTTCTTCTACATTTATCTGCAATTCTATAAGGATCCATCTAATGTGGCCCTCATTAAAATGGTTGGTAGTAGTAGCCAGGCACCATCTAGTTTTTCTAGTCTCAGGGTAGATGAGACTGTTGTTCGTGTCAACTATCATGTCGACTCTTAGTCCTATAGACTAGTTTCTTCCCTGAATCTTTGGTTTCTTTTGTTTCAGATGAGTGGAGACCAATAGTTGTTCCTTAGATGGCCGTTCATAAGCTTTTAAGGCTATTCATGACACTGGGCTGTAGAACATACACTTAATTAAGTATATTGTGCTAATTAACTGACTTACTTGTCCCTCTAAGTCTTCAAACCCTCTAAGTTTTCAAACCAATCTCACCATCTGTTTGGTTATGGCTAAGAAGTATTTATCTGTACCTGTGTTCCTATGGGGTTTATTATGTATATGAATATACATGTAGGTATACACATACCTATATGTACATATGCCTACAGATACAGCTATCGGTGCATACATATGTACCCATATATTCAGACTCATATACTGACATGCCTATATCCACATTTGTGTAACCACACACATTTTTTGTTTGTTGGTAGTGTTGTTTCCAAATTATATGTGTCATATCCTTTACCAAAGACATCCTTTTCTCTTCTACATTTCATAGTGATGTCATTTACCTTGACCAAGCTGTGTACACTTCTGCCATATTCAATGCTACCTTTCCAATCACCAAAACTAACAAATGTCTACTATCTTGAGAGTGCTTCTCCCTTCTCCTCCCCACCCATTCCTAGTAGCCACAATGACCATTGGTCTCTGTGTATCTATTTTTGTCTTCTTATAAAAGTGCAGTCAGACAATATTTATCCTTTTGTGACTGAATTACTTTACTCAGCATGATATCTTCCAGATTCATCCACGTTATACGATGTTTTGAGGACTCATTGTTGTTCTTTATGGCTGAATAGTATTCTATTGTGTATATATACTACATTTTGTTAGATTATTTCCATTGTTTTGCTCTTGTGGATAATGCTACAGTGAACATGTTGTTGTTGTTGTTAGGTGCCATCAAGTCGACCCCGACTCATAGCAACCCCTCCTTGGGTTTCCGAAGCAGTATCACTTGGGAAGTAGATTGCCCAACCTTCCTTCCGAGGAGGGGCTGGTGGGTTTGAACTGCCAGCCTTCTGGTTAGCAGTCAAGTGCCTTAGGCACTATGCTACCAGAGCTCCCACAGTGAACATAGGTGTGTGTATATATATATATTTGTGTCACTTCTATTAGATCTCTAGGGTATATACCTAGAAGTGGGATTGCTGGATCATAAGGTATTTTTATTTCTACCTTTTTGAGAAAATGCTCTACGATTTCCCACAGTAGTTGTTCTGTCTTACAATCCCACCAGCAGTGATAAGAGTTCTTATCTCTCTATACTTTGGCATTTTTTTTTTAATCAGTGACATTTTTCCAGGGTATCTGATTGTAATTTTGATTTGCATCTGTCAAATGGCTGATTAACACAAGCATCTTTTCAAGTTTTTGTTGACCACTTCATTGTCCTCTTTGGTGAAGTGTTTGTTCGTGTCCTTTGCCCTGTTTTAAAATTGGACTGTTTTATCATGTTATAATTGAGTTTAATTAAAACTGGTGGGAATGAAACCTTTTCTAATCTCCTTTGCCCCTTTTTCTGTACTGTATGCTCAGGCATGCACATGTTAAATATTCCATACCCTCCCCCAGTATCTTCTCAGAGACTTGGAGCAATTTCCTATACACCAGCAATGGAAATTTTATTTTTGCTTAGATTCTAGTCTATTCTTCATATTGCATTTTCCTGTCTTTTTCACTGTTGTACATGGAAATTGCTATTATCCTATGTTGTTATGTGCCATTGAGTTGTCTCCGACTCATTGCAACCTTATGTATAACAGAATGAAACACTGCCTAGTCCTGTGCCAGCCTCACTATCCCTACTATACCTGAGCCCATCACTGCAGCCATGGTGTCTATCCATCTCATTGAGGGCCATCCCCTGTTTCATTGACCCTCCACTTTACCAAGCATGACATCCTTCTCCAAAGAATGGTCCCTTCTGACAACCTGACCAAAGTAGGTGAGACAAAGCCTGGCCATTCTTGCTTCCAAGGAGCGTTCTGGCTGCACTTCCTGCAGGAAAGATCTGTTAGTCCTTTTAGCAGTCCACAGTACTTTTAGCATTCTTTGCCAACACCACAACTCAAAAGCATCAACTTTTCTTCAATCTTCCTTATTCATTGTCCAGCTCTCACATGCACATTAGGCGTTTGAAAATACCGTGGCTTGGGTTGTATGCATCTTAGTCTTCAAGGAGATATCTTTGCTCTTCATCACTTGAAAGAGGTCTTATGCAATAAATTTGCCCAATGCAACATGTCTTTTGATGTCTTGACTTCTGCTTCCATTGACATTGATTATAAAACCAAGTAATAAGAAGTCTTTGACAACTTCAATCTTTTCTCCATCTATTGTGATGCTGCTTATTAGTCCAATTGTGAGGATTTTTTTTTCCTATATGTTGAGGTAGCTGTCTTCCAAATCTCTTGGCATAGCAAAGTGAGTGCCTCCAGCAGGGCATCCGTTTGTTGAAACATCTCAGTGGGTATTCTGTCAATTCCCAGGGCCTTGTTTTTCACCAATTCCTTCAGTGCAGCTTTGACTTCTTCCTTTACTACCATTGGTTCTTGATCATATGCCACCTCCTGAAATGGATGATCATCTACCAATTATTTTTGGTGTAGTGACTCTGTGTACTCCATCTATCTTCTTTTGATGTTTCCTGCGTCATTCAACATAATGCCCATGGAATCTTTCAATATTGCAATTCAAGGCTTAAATTTGTTCTTCAGTTCTTTCAGCTTGAGAAATGTCTGGCATGTTCTTCCCTTTTCTAACTCGAATTCTTGGCATATTTCATCATCATAATTGACTTTTTTCTTTTCAAGCACTCTTTGAAATCTTCTATTCAGCTCTTTTATCTTGTCGATTCTCCCTTTTGCTTTAGCTACTCTCCATTCTAGGGCATGTTTCAGAGTCTCCTCTGACATACACTTTGGTCTTCTCTTCCTTTCCTCTCTTTTTAATGACCTTTTGCTTTCTTCATGGATGATGTTCTTGATGTCATCCCACAATTCTTCTGGTTTTCGGTTATTGGTGTTCAATGCATCAAATCCATTCTTTAGATGGTCTCTAAATTCAGGAGGGATAAAATCAAGGTCATATTTGGCTCTTGTGGAGTTGTTTTAATTGTTTTCAGTTTCACCTTGAGCTTGCATATGAGCAGTTGATGGTCTGTTCCACAGTCAGCTCCTGGCCTTGTTTTGACTGAAGATACTGAGTTTCTCCATCACCTCTTGCCACAGATGTAGTCAGTCTGATTCCCGTGTACTCCATTTGGTGAAGTCCATGTGTCCAGCTGCAGCTGTGTTGTTGTAAAAAAGGTATTTGCAAGGAATAAGTCATTAGTCTTGCAAAATTCTATTATGTGCTCTCCAGCGTGATTTCTGTCACCCAAGACTGTATTTTCCAACTGCTGGTGATTCTTTTTTTTTCCAACTTTTGCATTCCAGTCACCAGTGATAATTAACACATCTTGATAGCATGTTCAGTCAATTTCAGACTGCAGAAATTGGTAAATGTCTTCAATTTCCTCATCTTTAGCTTTGGTGGTTGGTTTGTAAATTTGAATAATAGTAATATTAACTGGTCTTCCTCATAGGCGTATGGATATTATCCTCTCACTGACAGCATTGTACTTCAGGATAGATCTTGAAACATTCTTTGTGATGATGAATGCCATGCCACTCCTCTTCATTTTGTCATTCCCGGCATAGCAGATCATATGGTTGTTTCATTCAAAATGACCAAAACCAGTCCATTTCAGCTCACTCATGCCTACAATATCGATCTTTATGCATTCCATTTCATTTTTGGCAACTTCGAATATTCCTAGGTTCATACTTCATACATTCCATGTTTTGATTATTAATGGATATTTGCAGCTATTTCTTCTTTCCTTGAGTTGTACCACATCAGCAAAAGGATGAGTGGCTGGTAGGTCTGAACCATCAGCCCTTGGGTTAGCAGTCAAATGCCTTAGGCACCACACCACCAGAGCTCCTGATCTTTAGCTTCAGACATAGTAAAACCTCATATTCATATTGTCCCCACATATTAATTTCTGTGTTTTCTTGCTTTATCTGTGGATTCCTAAGTGACCACTTGAAGAAACAGAGCTTAATTGGTATTCTGAGTACAACTTTTATTTCATCACTTTGGTGCTGCAGGTTTTCCTGTCTACTAACATGTAATCCTTGCTGGGAATTGTTTCACATGGATTCTGGCTTTCTTCCTTCTCCTCAGTAATGGATTCCAGAGCCTGAGCAGTGTCTGTTCCAATTGTTCATGAGTCAGCTGCCACTTAATCCTAGGTTTTAGAATCACCAAAAATACTAGAAATTAGGAGTCATGTTTCAGTGTGATATGGTAAGAGCTGTTTATTCTCATGAGTTTCAGAGAGTGTAGCTCATTGTCATATTAAAACAATACCTTAATTTCTGCATGAAAAGATACCTGTTTCATGATCAGACATCCAGCTTACTGCTGAAATTCAAATATTACTTAATAGGGAACATTCTCATTTGAAAAATATTGTTAACTCAGTAAATTGGAGTTTAAGACTTCTGGCCTTTTCTTCCTGTTTTCACATTATGTATTAGCTTTTCTTCAATAAAATCATGTGGTTTTGTTTCTGTTACTTGTTTTTGTTAGCCATGAATTTGATTCTGAACATGTTCCCGACCTGACAAAAGAACCTTATGTTCAAGACATCCATTCTGTTGGCTCCCTTTGCAAGCTGTATTTCCGAGAGCTCCCCAATCCACTGCTTACCTATCAACTATATGAGAAATTTTCTGTAAGTACAAAGTAGTTTTGAATCAAGTTCTTTTTGGAGCTTTGTTGCAGTTTTATTCTAAACATTGTAACGATTGATTTGGTAGCATGTAAGAAATAGTTTTATGGCTGATAGGTTTCCTTTTCCTTTTTTTTTTTAACAATCATTGCTAGCTAGTCCATGGTTTTTGCTGTTTGTACATTGTCATTCTTTTAGTTTCTGACTTGGAACCATTAATGTTATTTCCCTTAATATTGGTTACCATCAAGCTTTTGTTTAAAATACATATTATATATATATATATATATATAAAGTGACAAACTTTCATTTTTGCAAGTCAAGCCTACCAGTTTATTTTGCATTATGGTTGTTACAGGATGCAGTTTCAGCAGCAACAGATGAAGAAAGGCTGATAAAAATTCACGATGTCATCCAGCAACTCCCCCCTCCACACTACAGGTAAGCCACATGTAAAATACCAGCCAAATGTGTAAGTCCTTTTATGTATAAAACTGGTTTTTCTCTTTGGGTTTTTAATTATTTGAACTTCTTTGAAGTTCTGTTTATGCAGAGCAAGTTTCATTAATAAATACATACATTTATAATTGTTTATTTCACTTCCATCGAGTTGACTCCAACTCATAGTAACCCCCCATTGGGTTTCCAAGGCAGTAAATCTTTACAGAAGTAGATTGCCCCATCTTCCTTGCACAGAGTAGCTTATGGGTTTGAACCACCAACCTTCTGGTTAGTAGTCAAATGCTTAGGCACTATGCCACCAGAGCCCCTTATATTTATCTATCTTTATATTCCTGTGTCTTGGCATGGTACTTGGCATCTAATAGATATTTAATAAATGGTGAATGAATAAATTAACAAACAAATGAATGGTTGACTAAGCCTTTGTTATTGTTGTTGTTGTTTTGCTGTTGTTTATTAATTTTGTTACAGCTATTGTTAGGTGTTACTGGGTTAATAGGTTGCTGTTTGCTGTTGTTTATTGATTTTGTTACAGTTGTTAGGTGTAAATAGATGAACGAATGGCATCTTTGGTTGTTTTAATCTGCATTTCTTATAAAATGTGTTTCTGAAGTACTTTAATCTTTCCCTTCCCTCACTTGTTTCCTCTTCTGAGTAACAAAATATGATACTGTGTTCCAAACACATTTTTCAAATTTCTTATCCCTAAGGCATATGACCGGGACCAGATGTCTGGTGGTTCAAACCCACCAGCCATTCCTTGGAAGGAAGACTAGGCAGTTTACTTCTGTAGAGATACCGCCTGGGAAACCCAAGGAGGCGTTTTAGAGTCAGAATTGACTCAACAGCAATGAGTCTCCAGGGCAGTCTCACTTCGGTGTATCTATCTGTCTTTCCTTATTTAACCATGTGCAGGAAAAAAAATAAAAAACAATCAAATTCATTGCCATCAGGTTGGATCCAACTCACAGCGACCCCTCCTTGGGTTTCTGAGGTGGTATCAATACGGAAGTAGATTGCCCAGACTTCTTTCCGAGGAGTGGCTGGTGGATTTGAACAGCCAGCCTTCTGGTTAGCGATTAAATGCCTTAGGCACTATGACATCAGAGCTCCCGCCATGTACATGAGGGACAGAGAATTACAGTTTTCACTGTAGGGTAGCTACAATAGATAATGTTTAATAAGCAGGCCTTGGGAGCTCGGTGTCATAGTGCCTAAGGCATGTGACTACCAACCAGAAGGCTGGTGGTTCAGACCCACCAGCCACTCCTTGGAAGGAAGGTTGGGCGATCTACTTCCATAGTGATACTGTCTCGGAAACCCAAGGGGCAGGGTCTCTATGAGTCAGATCCGACTTGACGGCAGTGGGTTTGGTTTTGGTTTTTTTTCAGAGCCAAGCTGACCTTAATTTGAATCATAGCACTGTCACTTCTCCATAAAATGAGGATGGTAATACTATTATTTTTGGGTCATTTGTTATAAGAACTAAATGAAATAACCTGTAAACATTTTGAACAATGCCTGTTGTTATTCTTTGCCTCTCAAATCCTTATTAGGCCCATCTGAATCTCTGAGACATTTATGTGAGCCAGAATTAACTTTCTTAGAACCGTTTCAAGTAAGAGAGTCTTATACTGCTGTCTTTTATTCGTTGTCTTTAATAGTTTTAATTCCTATCTAGTTAGGTAGGGACACTTTGAGAAGATACAGTAACCAGTAGATAATAGTTGTGTGTGTGTATTTGCTTTAATTTACATTTAAGCTGATCATGTTTTATTTCCAAAATAAATATGCCCTTTTATTTAATCTGAATATATATGGAATTGTTAATAATGAAAACTTAAAATGGACAAAGTAAACCAGGGTATTATATTTGAAGTACGCTTTCTGTTTTCAAAAGCACATTATTTGAATGGCAGTGAGTTTGGTTTGGTTTGGTTTTTTAGTGTCTACAGGAGCTTTTCTTTTAGCTACTTTCCGACTGGTTAGACATTGTTGTTTTCTTTCATGGAATAAGAGTTTAAATCTTGTCCTGTTAGTGTGTCTGCTCCAAATAGAATAGCATAGCTTCACGATAATCACCTTGTCCAGAAACTGACACCAGCAGCAAATATTCTTGAAGATTTGTTAAAAACTAAGGCTAGTTTTCTCAGTGCCAGTCCTGTCTGAGACTTATTTCTTACTGCATCTGCCATAGACTTTTGTTCTATATCCACAGCATTCATCTGACAGTTCTGTAGTAACAGTAGTATTCAGTAATATTCAAACAATAGTATTCACTGAGATCAAGTTGATTCCAACTCATAATGACCCTATAGGACAGAGTAGAACTATTCCATAGCGTTTCCAAGGCTTCACAGAAGCAGACGGCCTGATTTTTCTCCTGCAGAGCATCTGGTGAGTTCAAACCCTAAACCTTTTGGTTAGCAGCCAAATGCTTTACCCACTGTGTCACAAGAGCTCCTGTTTAAACCTAATAGCCAAAAAAAAAAAGGAAGGAAGAAAATTGCTGGATTTAGTAAGGTCTTTTTTTCCATTTTGCTGTGGAAGATTTATGAATTAATTAGTGGGCTTTTTCTGTTCTGCCCTGGTGCACAATATTTCTTTCTGCTAATCTATTGTATTTCATTTTCCAGAACGCTGGAGTTCCTGATGAGACACTTGTCTCTTCTAGCTGACTATTGTTCCATCACAAATATGCATGCAAAAAACCTAGCAATTGTTTGGGCTCCAAACCTGCTAAGGTAATTTACATTTGACTTATGACCTTAAGTAGAACTAGTCATCTTAAAAATAAATGTAATTGGTCAGTGTTTCTTAGGGAAAATTTTTAAAAGGGGAACTAGTCTTGTTTTTTTATGAGCATCTCCCTAAGAGGAGGGACTTAGTCAGGGAACTATAAAAGTATGAATTCTTCCTCTCTTTTGTTGGTGATTTACATGTTTTAAAAATATATATGTAGATAGATAGATAGCTCCTTTAAGATTGCTAGCTTTGCAACTCTCTGCTGGAAGCAATGTTTACCTCACAGATCAAAGCAAATAGAATCTGCCTGCTTCAGTGGGACAGCGGCTTTCATGGAAGTGAGAATTCAGTCTGTAGTTGTGGAATTTATCCTTAATCATGTGGAAGTCCTCTTCAGTGGCAAAATCAGTGCAGTCATCCAGGAAGGAGCAGGTATGGCTACTAGGAATTTTGTCTTCTACCAGGAACATATTTCTAAACTTCTAAAAGAATGGAAAGTTATATGTTTGCTATCTAATTTTAAAAAGTTGCAAGATTTATATTTAGTAGCTGTTTAGTATCTATTTTCCAGAATGCACAATTTAACGATTATTTTATGTGTATATGGTGAAATACTACATAGACCTATTGTGATCTAAGTTCATGATATATTTTAAAAAGTAACATGGCACCTATAATTTATATGTATGTAAAGGTCATAACATGGAACAGAAGAGAAATTTTTTTCCAAAACTAAAAATAGCTGCATGATGGCCTTTTTTGGTATCTTTTAAGATGGGAAAATAATCAAACTGTTTAAAGAATTTGGAAAATACATATGTCAGTGTTGGGAACCTGGTATGTTACCTTCTATTTCTTATTTAATATAAAGCATTATTTTTACCATTAAAAAAATAATGAAGAAAATGTAAGATAGGTAGATAGATGGTAGATGGATGAAATTCTCTCTCTCACACACACACACATACATTCTCCCCTGTGCCAAAATGTTTAACTCTGTTTATTGCTTTCCTTTTCCATCAAAAGCTTCTTTATCAAGGCCCAAGTCCTTGCTGGTTTCTTCTCCTTCCACCAAGCTGCTGACATTGGAGGAAGCCCAGGCACGAACACAAGCTCAGGTCAACTCTCCAATTATGACTGAAAATAAGTACATTGAAGTAGGAGAAGGACCTGCTGCACTTCAGGGAAAATTTCATACTATAATTGAGTTTCCACTTGAAAGGTAAAATTCATTAAATCTCTGTCAGAGAATGATTTTCATGGCCATGTATTACTTTTTATTTCACTTTTAATTTTGTAGTTTGGTATTGCCGTATTAATTCTAAGGAGCCCTGGTACCACAGTGATTAACTACTCTGCTACTAACCAAAGGTTGACAGTTTGAACTCATCAGCTGCTCCTCAGAAGAAAGCTGTAGCATTCTGCTTCTGTAAAGTTTATAGCCTTGGAAACCCTATGGGGCAACTGTTCTCTGTCCTATAGGGTCTCTGTTAGTGGCACTTGATTCAACAGGTTTATTTATTTATTTTTTTATTAATTTTGGAGCAGTCTTAGAAAAACCTGTTTGTGTGAATAAGGATGGTGCTTAACAATTCTTAGATAAAGACGAAAATGATTCTTGTAAAGCATTACATTGCATGATTTTTAAAAAGAAGAAAATCAGTTGTATAGGGAAAATTGCCAGGCAAAATTATGTACTTCCTCTATATAGGCTTTGATTTTCTATCTGAGCTATGTTATCTAGAAATTTGTTGAGAAACAAGCTGTTTAGAAACACCTTGTTATGAAAGTAACCAATGAACTTGTTTGCCATTGGTTCCACAGGAAGGTTAGAATAGTAGATCAGTGATTCTCAAAATGTGATCTCCCAACCAGTAGCCTCAGTATCATCTGGTAATTTTTAGAAGTGCAAATTCTCAAGCCCCATTCTGGATCACTGAATCAGAAACCTTGGGTGTGTAGGCTGGCTGGCAGTCAGTCTTTTAAAAAGGTGGTTTGGATAATTGCTAAAGCTTAAGAATCACTATTGTTTGCTCTCAATGTTCCTTCCAGCTCTGAAATTCTTTTTCTCTAAAGAAATGATAATAATAGAATGGTTTATATATCTTCTCTACTAAGTTATAGTATAAAGACTATAATTATAATTATATATGTAAAAGTTCTTTTTGATGTCTCTACTACTCCTTTGGTTATTACATATAAATGCAAGAATTGCAATCTCCTAAATTGGGTAGTGCTAATAATAATTTAGGATTTATTCTGTTCATATTCTGTATACCCCCTAACTTCCTTTTACTTCACATGACTAAAAATACCCTGATAGCAAAAAAAAGGTACCCTTTTACTTTGTCATCCTGGGGTTGTCTTTAGCCTCTTGATTTTATACTTTATTTCCACATTTTTTCACAAATCTCTTTATGGAATTGTTGTTGTACTGTCAAGTCAATTCCAGCTATCTAACAGAGTATAGCTGCCATATAGGTTTTTCTAGACTTTACAGGAGCCGATTGCCATGTGTTTTTCCCTAGGAGCCACTGGTGGATTTGAACTAACTTTTTCAGTTACCAGCCCAGTGCTTAATCATTGTGCCACCAGAGCAACACTAACTATTACTATTAGTGGTTAAGTTGTTAAGATAGACCTGGATTTCAGTCCTAATGCCACCATTTACTAGTTTTTATAAATTTAAAGAAGTTACTTAAATTCCTTAGTGTTAATTCCTCAGCTATAAAATAAGAATTACCATTTTTATTATTTTATAGCTGAGGAAATAGCAACTTAACCACTGATAGTAATAGGCAAGAATGAGGAGCTCCGGTAGCGTAGTGCCTAAGGCATTTGACTGCTAACCAGAAGGCTGGTGGTTCAAACCCACCAGCCACTTTTCAAAAGGAAGGTTGGGCAATCTACTTCTCTAGTGATAATGTCTTGGAAACCCAAGACGGGGTCACTGTGAGTTGGATCCGACTCAACGGCAGTGAGTTTGGTTTTTGGTTTTGGTATAAACTAAGAATAACAGTACCTCCCCTATATGGCTACATATCTACATAGGGTTTACATGTAGATAATGTATATAAAGCCCTTAGCAAAGTGCTAGCATTTAGTGTATTACTAAGCCCAAAAAAGGAGCTCTAGTGGCATAGTGCCTAAGGCATTTGATTGCTAACCAGAAGCCTGGCGATTCAAACCCACTCCTCAGAAGGAAGGTTGGGCAATCTACTTCCTTAGTGATACTGCTTTTGAAACCCAAGGAGGGGTCGCTGTGACTCAGATCCAACTCGACGGCAGTGAGTTTTTTCAGCCCAGAAAACCAAACCTATTGCCACTGAGTCGACTCCAACTCATAGTGACCCCCATTGGGTTTCCAAGGCTGTAATCTTTATGGAAGTAGATTGCCTCATCTTCCTCGCCTGGAGCAGCTGCTGAGTTTGAACCGCTGACCTTCTGGATAGCAGCCAAATGTCTTACCCACTATACCACCAGAGCCCCTTTTAGTATATACTACGTATTAATACTTGTATTCTCTTTGGGCTTAATTCTGTCTACTCACAGTTAATTTTATTTAATTTTGTTTTTTAGGAAACTTAATGTTTGCTATTCCCAGAAATTTCTTATTTCCACTTCTTTCTCAGGTTGTGAACTTATATGATGATCTGTATAAAAATTTTCTTTATTGAGGCTAATTACTAATATTAAAATCTACATGTTTAATTTCCACTTCATGCTTTAGTTGCACAGTTTAGTTGTACAATGTCGAGTGTACTATATGGAAGGTGAGTATCTGTTTACTGTTTCAGCTGTACCTTTCCAAGCTGTTTGACTCCTCTATCATTGGTTCATTTCTTTTTCTTTTTTTTAAGATATGTACTCCCTTGAATATCTTAATGTGGATTAATCATTGTCTCTCTTTTAGGAAGAGGCCTCAAAATAAAATTAAAAAATCTCCCGTGGGCAGCTGGCGGTCCTTCTTCAATTTGGGGAAATCATCATCTGTTTCCAAACGAAAGCTCCAGCGAAATGAGAGTGAGCCTTCTGAGATGAAAGCCATAGCTCTGAAAGGTTAGTGCAGTTTGCATAGGGGATTCAGAGTTCTAGTCCTATATGATAGTTCTTCTTATTCTAGGTACATGTTCCATGTACTGTCATAACAGACTTCAGTATAATATATCCAAGTATGTACCTATATATGAATTATCTTTAAAAAAAATCAATTCTTTATCCCCAAATGCAAAGGAAATATAAATAAATAATATATAAATATGTGGAAGTGCTTAGTAACTTGTGAAACTATATGGCTTATATATACTGTGAATGTAGTTGAAGATTCACAACACATCTATAACATAGTTTGTATATTCTTGGTAATAAAAAAATAATCTTAATAATCTTAATTTAGTGTTTAAATTGTATTGATCTGTATTTTTACAGATTTAACAAATGACAAAACCATGTTTCAGCACACCTTTAAAATCTATAACTATTATCTACCAAAGAAGCTAACTTTTTTACTAGGTAGCTCATTGATGAGAGGATCTTACTGGATGAAACAAATCTATGCTATTGTTGAAAAAACTACTCTTTTAAAAATAGTTTACAATTCATGTTTGACTGATATTAACAACTTCTGAATCTAGGAACACTAGTAGTACTTTCTTCTTAAGCTGTGTTACAAGTATAATGTTCAGTTCTTTTAATTCATCATCCATTCAGTTTGCAAAAATGTTCTAAGCATGTGTTAGATATTTTCATAGCAGTCTCTAAAAATAGAAAATTAAAATACTTACCCCTGCCTTCAGCATCTATATGAAGATATATATGTATATATACATATAATTTCCATGCAGACTAGTAGCTCTTGAAATAGAGGTTTGCAGATGGTAGAAATTGTCAATTCTTGTTGGGGAAAGGGTTGATGGTCAGAAAACCCAACCTTTGAACAGAGATTTGAAGAATAAGTGAGGATTCACCTAACAGACAGGGGACTGAGGGTAATGTTTCAAGTAGTGGGAACAACGTGCAGACTGCTATGTGAAACCAAGAAAAAAAACAAACTCACTGCCATCGAGTTGATTTAGACTCAAATCCACATGGGGTTTCCGAAGCTGTAAATCTTTATGTAAGTAGATCACTCAATTTTCCTTCTGTGGAGCTGCTGATGGGTTTGAAACACTGACCTGGTTAGCAGCCATATGCCTTATCTACCTGGGTACCTTAAAGAATTTGGCTGAGTCATAGGGTAAGAAGAAGTTGAGGTCACTGAGACCTTGCATACCTTGACACTCTGTGGAGACTTATTGAATACTTTCAGTATGTAACATGATCAAGTTTGTGTTTAAGAAAGGTGACTTCCACAGTCGTATGGGGAATATATGGAAAGAGGGTAACACTGGAGACTGGCCAATCAGGAGACTGTTAACAATTGTTTAAACAAGAAGTGATAAGTGTCTGAAGTAAAAAGTGATAGTAGAGATGAGGAATTGTAATTGTAATTTACGGATTACACCTCAATATAAAGAAAACCAAAATCCTCCCAATGGGACCAATAAGCAACATCATGATAAATGGAGAAAAGATTTAAGTTGTCAACGACTTCATATTACTTGGTTCTACAATCAACTCCAATGGAAGCAGCAGTCAAGATATCAGATGTCATATAGCATTGGGCAGATCTGCTGCAAGGGACCTCTTTCAAATGCTGAAGAACAATGATGTTTACTTGAAGACTAAGGTGTGCTTAACACAAGCCATGGTATTTTCAGTTGCCTCATATGCATGTGAGAGCTGAACAATGAAAAAGGAAGATTGAAGAAGAGTCAATCCTTTTGAGTTGTGATGTTGGCAAAGAATGCTGAAAGTACCGTGGACTGCGGAAAGAACTAACAAATCTGTCCTGGAAGAAGTACAGCTGGAATGCTCCTTGGAAGTGAGAGTGGCCAAACTTCATCTCACCTACTTTGGTCATGTTGTAAGAAGGAACCATTCCCTGGAGAAGGATATCAAGCTTGGCAAAGTGCAGGGACAATGAAAAAGGGTAAGGTCCTCAATAAGATGGATTGACAAAGTGGCTGCAACTATGGGCTCAGGTATAGCAAGGATTGTGAAGCTGGCACAGCACTGAACAGTGTTTCATTCTCCTGTGCATGAGGTTGCTGTGAGTTGAAGACAACTCAATGGCACCTAACAACAACAACAACAGAGGTGAGGAATGGGTTTGAGAGATTTAGAAAGCAAAATCTACAGGCTTGCCGAACAGTGTTTTGTTCTGCTATCCATGAGGTTTCTATGAGTTGGAGACAACTCAATGGCACCTACAATAACAACAGAGGTGAGGAATGAGTCTGAGAGATTTAGAAAGCAAAATCTACAGGCCTGGGGGACCAAATGATTAGGGAGGATGAAGGGAAAAGTGGAGTAAAATTAATTTTCAGGTCTCTTATTAAATCACAAGGTAGATGGTAATGCCGTTATCCCTGTAAAGAATAGCAGTTTGGAGAAGAAAAATAATGTGTATATTTTATACATAAATAGTTAGTATAAGTCTAAAATCCAATAAAGGAGTTTAACAATTAGAAATACAGATTTGAGGGTAATCAGCAAACATCCAGAGGTAGAAAATCTTAGAGCTACAGTTTATTGCCCATGAATAATTGATCAAGTGAGAAGAGAAACAGGCTGGGGATTGATCCTGGAGAAAAGCAATGTTTTAACAGACTGCAAGAAGAAGAATTATAAGGAGAGTAAGAAGTGGTTAGAGAGGTAGGCAAAGAAAAGAATGGATGCTATTACTAACAGTAGTGTTGAGTGCTACCAAAAAGTGAATGAGGATGAAGATACTTAACAAATAATGTTCAACGAATATTATTTAAATACCTGTATTAGTGTCCTAATGCTGCTGTAATAAATTACCGCAAAGTACGTGGCTTAAAACAACTTAAATTTATTCTCTTACTGCTCTGAAGGCTAGAAGTCCAGAATCATTATGTCTCCAGAGCCGTGCCCCCTTGGAAGGCTCTAGAGGAGGATCTTTTCTTGCCTTTTCCAGCTTCTGGTGTGGCTCCAGGCAGTCCTTGGCTTCTGGCAGCATAACTCCAATCTCTGCCTTTGTCTTTACATGGCCATCTTCCCTTTGTGTCTTCTCCTTTTCTTATAAGGACACTAGTCATTGATTTAGGGCTCACCTTAAATCTAGTATGATGTCATCTTGTTGTTGTTGTTGTTATGTGCCGTCGAGTCCGATCCGACTCATAGTGACCCCTTGGGTTTTCGAGGCAGTATCATTAAGGAAGTAGATTGCCCAACCTTCCTTCCGAGATGTCATCTTGAAATGCTTAATTAAATCAAAGACTCTATTTCCAAATAAGGTCACATTCTGAGGTTCCAGACGGAGATGAACTTGGCATGGGAAACACTGTTTAGCCCACTACAGTATCATTTTATGATCTTTAGGAAATATAAAAGAAGTCTTTTAATTTTTGTCTGTTCTCAAGTTCATAATCCTTCGGAAAAGAGATTTTTTTCCAATAGGAAACAATTTGAGAGCAATACAACACATTAAATAATAGAGTGCTAAACTTGAATATGATCATTAAAATGTATACAAATATCTCTTGGAAGTTTAAACACATGTAAAGAAAAAAATAAAGCACTATTTTCTTTCCTTACATTTTGTGTTTCACTGCAGTCAAGAGAATGATCTACAAAATAATAAAACTTCACATTATTTACTTCTGATTCTTTAGGTGGCAGAGCGGAAGGAACCCTCCGCTCAGCTAAAAGTGAGGAGTCTCTTACTTCTCTCCATGCAGTTGACGGTAAGACTAAAAGTATCAATTGTTTTATTGTGTAATGAATTTCATAAAAGAACACAGCAATTCAGTATATTTTATAAACGTATATTTAATAAATAGGGTTGGCCTGTTACCATCGAGTTGATTCCAACTCATAGCGACCCTATAGGACAGAGTAGAACTGCCCACATAGGGTTTCCAAGGCTGTAAATCTTTATGGAAGCAAACTGCCACATCTTTCTCCCAAGGAGCAGCTGGTGAGTTCTAACCACTGACCTTTTGGTTAGCAGCCGAGAGCTTTAACAACTGTTCGTATCAATATTGTTCAGTTTAAAAGTCACGATGTTTTAATATAGTACCAGTCTTTATAATAATATTATTATTATTATTCAGTTTACATAAAAATAGCTGAAATGTTTTAAGTTAACCATTTATATTTATTAATGCCTAGTGAACACTGGTACTGCTAGTATTGATTTCTTTAGATTTCACAATGTAAGCACTGTGTAACAGTGTATAAAATTAAGCCATTTTGATTTGTCTTAGAAATGGCTTTACACGATGTTTCATTTCATAGTGCAGATTTATTATAGGAAGTCCCCACTGTCTGTAGCTAATTAGTACAAGGAGAAGGCAACTTAAAATGGATTCACTTAAAATGGGACCAAAATTCCATAATAGACGGTGAAAAAAGTTTTTGATTGCAACTTAATTTGGAAAGAAAAACTAAAAAATTATGAAAACAAATTTATCTTTTATTTATCAATAGTTGGATTATAGTTGTTTCTATGTACTAATTTTAAAATGAAAAAAGATTTCAGTGTTGATTTGGAAGGTCATCCTTTACTTGATGTTTGCCTTGTACGGCAGAATTTTAAAGAAAGCCCTTATCGCAAAAATAATTAAAGGCTTCACTGATTTCCCACAGGCTTTTTTCCTTAATCCTTTGATATTCAAATCATGCTCTTTTGCAGTATCCTGACATGTCACCATTCTGGTCACTTTTCTCATCTTCATTTTTTTAACTCTTCTAACTGTCAAACAGACACTCATTGATCAGTGACTTTGCTTGTGATTCAAGTAGTTCTCCTGTATCACCTCATTTGAGTGACTGACATAAGTTTTCCGAGATTTTCATTCACTTCACTGCAGTCAAAAGAATGAGCTACAAAAATAGTGCAGTGGACTGGGTAGATGCTAGTGTTAAGCAGAAAATTCTATTTGAATAGAGATTGCTATTATGAGTGGTAGATACATTAGTGAATATATTTATGGTAAGACAACTTCTGTCTGTTTAAATTACATTTTCATTATGACAATTCTATTAATTCTAATAGAATATTCAGAGGACTTCTTCTACCAGTTGTCCAATTCACAGCATCATTAAATGTATAATATTCTCTACCATTGTTGAGACTTCTGCCTGAGAAACTTAAAGCCTCTTCTTATAATGGGAGAAAAAGTAAATTTTTCTGTTTAAGTATCTGAAAGAAATCCTTTACTAAATATATGTAAACACCTTATGGGGTTATGGAGATTTTTTAGTCGAGAAGGATAGTATTGTAGAAATGTAAGTGTTAGGATGTTTCCTTGCAAAAACAAATAAATAAATAAAACTACACCTTTTGCTGTTGCATATCCAAAGTACTATAGTGAAACCTATGAGAGCTGGAACTCGATGTGACTGCTTTGTTTTTTCACATCTTGCAAGTTTTCTTCCTTTGACGGAATGCAGTCTTACAACTTTTCTATCACTCATTTTAGTGGAAACTATTTGAGTTTACCTTTTCTCACAGGTTTCTGTTGCACAGGTATTCCAGATTTTGCAGGTTTTACTGTGTTTAAAATAATTAATTCTACCTCACAATTTATGTGAGGTTAGTGATAAAGTATGACACAAAAGAAATAAAAGAAACTTGCCCAAAGTCACAAAAATTGTCAGTGTTGGACCAGTAATAGAATCCAAGAGCTTTTATGCTTTTTTCCTATGCAAGCCATCAAATGTTACAGTTTCTCTATAATTATATCAAATGTATTTCTTACTTAGAATTTGGTTTACGAATTCTGTTATTTCAAGTTTAAGTGATCTGTACATACCAAGAGACAATTAGGAAGGAAATGAGAAGTAACATTTTCTTACTCCACGTAGTAAACTACTCCTGTAACACTCATACTTTGATATTGTTATCCATTTTACCAGGTGATTCCAAGCTCTTCCGACCCAGAAGACCCAGATCTAGCAGTGATGCACTGTCTGCTTCTTTTAATGGAGAAATGCTGGGGAACCGCTGTAATTCCTATGATAACCTGCCCCATGACAATGAAAGTGAGGAGGAACTAGGGCTGCTCCACATTCCAGCACTCATGTCTCCCCATTCAGCTGAGGATGTTGACTTGAGCCCACCAGACATTGGAGTAGCCAGCCTGGACTTTGATCCAATGTCATTTCAATGTAGTCCTCCCAAGGCCGAATCAGAATGTCTGGAGAGTGGTACTTCCTTTTTAGATTCATTAGGATACTCCAAGGATAAACCAAGTAACAATAAGAAGGATGCAGAGGGAGGTGGTAGCCAGTCTCAGACTCCAGGAAGTACTGCAAGCTCTGAACCTGTCTCTCCTCTTCAGGAGAAACTGAGTCCATTCTTTACTTTGGACTTGAGCCCAAGTGAAGATAAATCTTCTAAATTATCCTCATTCACTGAAAAGGTCGTCTATGCTTTCTCTCCAAAGATAGGACGGAAATTAAGCAAATCGCCTTCTATGAACATATCTGAGCCCATTTCAGTGACCCTCCCTGCTCGAGTGTCAGAAGTCATTGGTGTAGTCTCAGATACAGCAGGTCAGAATGAATCTTCTCCAACCCGGAATAAAAACACAGAAGAAAGTGATATCACAAATAGATCCCCCACCCAGGTAGTAAAGATGAAAACAAATGAGCAAGAAGCCCAAGAAGGATGTGAACCTGAAGTCCAGGCCCTGGACCAGGTGGCTGTGGAAGAGGTGGCCTTGCCAGGGAGAGAGGAGCAGGCCATCCTGAGCAGTCAGAGTAAGGCTGTACCTGCTGGACAGGCACAGACAGGTACCGTGTGTTTTCCTCCATTCTTTATTTAAGTTGAGAGGGCTCTCCAATCCTGTATGCCGCCTGTGCCTTTTAAGAGAGAAATGTGCTGCACAGCTAGCCTATAATCAAAGAGAATGCTTTTCTGGGTGTTGCTTATAGCTCAAAGCCCTGAATTAAAAGCAATCAAACAAAAATCCCCAAAGGGCCAGTTGCCCTACTTCAAAATTTCGTAAAAGTCTGGTTATCTCTTTGGACAGTCAGAATTCATGGAAAATTTTTGCACAACTTCGTAGCTCTTGATTTTGTTTCCTCTTCTAATGAAATATATATGTCATAGCTTTACAAGTTAACAAGCTAGCCTACACCGTCAAATATAAGAAACTGTTCTTAGTAACAATCTATAAGCACTTGAAGCTGGTTTTCTAAGCAGTCTTTCTGAGCCAGGTGAGGGATCTTTTTTTTCCCCCCATGTCCATAGTAATTCAAGAGGAAATTGAAATCTCTAAATACTCTTTGTTTTAGTTTTCCTTCTGAAACAGATGTGTTTTCTACAGCATTTGCATGTGAGATAGAAGATCATGGATTGCCATTTTGAAATACGGAAAGCACCTATTTTTTAATGATCAAATGGGGAATGTTTGGCTTTCCATATAGGATAACATAAGCTACCTTTTCACTCTAATTTTTTTTCCCAATTTCCCACTAGGAGCAGTTACCCATGACCCCCCTCAGGACTCCGTTCCTGTCAGTTCAGTCTCTCTTATCCCACCACCACCGCCTCCGAAAAACGTTGCCCGCATGTTGGCGCTAGCATTAGCTGAGTCTGCACAGCAAGCCTCTACTCAGTCATTGAAGAGACCAGGGAATTCTCAGGCTGCTTATGCAAATTATGGAGACATAGCAGTGACTACTACTGAAGATAAACTGCCCAGTTCCTATTCTAGTGTTACTCTAGATACGGCCTATTACCAGAATGATAGGCCAGTAGAGCAGTTCCACCTCCAGAACATTGCATCTGGGAACTGTGGGCAGCCTGTGCCAGATCCAACAATTACTGGGAGTCACACCCATTCCAATACAACTGAATCTGGGGAGCAGCTTCACCAGACAGACTCCCCAGGGAATCAGCCACATCAAACCTTTTTATCTGGGGACCCAGAACAGGCCCGAATTACTGTAATTCCCCTAACAGACTCAGAAAAGGCTAATGATCATATATATTTCCCTGAAGACCAATCCGAGAAGACCAGCATGCCAACTGTCACCTTTGTGGACCAGAACCCTTCTCACCTCCATTTCTACAGTGTAGTCCAGCCTCCTCCTCATCTTGATACACAGGTGGAGAGGCCCCACCATGCTTCAGAACTTACAGACAAATCTCCCATTCCTTCTAATTTGCCTAGGGACAAAATCTACCCTCCTTCTGGGTCCCCTGAAGAAAATACAAGCACAGCCACCCTGACTTATATGACAACTATTCCACCAACAGCTGAAGTCAACACGAGAGAAGCCAATTGGAATGTGGTTGAGCAGCCCATTGCCACCAGTTTTGCTGTTGCCACCCTTCAGCGAACTCACAGAACTAGTCGTCCCCTTCCCCCACTTCCTTCCCAGAGGTCTGCAGAGCAACTACTAACTGTGGGGCAGGTACAAGCAGCAACCAATATAGGATTAAATGATTCCCACAAGGTAAGAAGGGGGAGCAGTCAAGTGAGATGAAATATACTTTTTCCAAAGGTATGTCATTTTCAGCAGAGTGTATTGGATGTGGCAAATTTATTTTAGATCCTATAGCAGGTTTCCATGAAACATTTCCCATTTGAGGTTGAAATCTGCCATTACCTTGATTGATATTGGTTTCTCTTTGAGAAAGGAGCAGTTACTTAATGACTGTAGTTTAACTTTTCCTGCTACCTTTATAAAAGCTACCTTTGCTTCTGAAAGGATCCAGATCATTTCTTCATAATAATACAAAGAGATCATGATCAGATGAATCATTCAAGCCATAGGTGTCTAGAGTTGCAGGGGTTTGTTTTCAACTCCATCACTGACTCACTGTGACTTTGGGCAAGTCACCTAACCACCTCTGCTGGTCATTTACATCCACACAATGAGAATAATTCACTCTCAAGATGTTTATAAGATTCTGCATTGCAGACTTGGTAGATGTATATGAGATTATAGTGTTTTAGGAGTTTTCATTATTTTCTCAATATTAATCAGCAGATTATTCTGTAGTGAAGTACCTGTTTAGATGAGAGAATAAGTGTTATATGCAGAATACTAAGCTTTCTTATTAATTTTCTCATTTGGAAAAAAAAAAAAAAAAATGGCCCAGCATTCTTGCAATTACCTTGAACTAAAAGGACTTTAATTTCTCATCCTTAATGGAGCATGCCATTTCTCACAAGCACTTTTCAGGGATGGCATATTTGTAGTATTGCTGTAGGGGGATCATTTGGCCTCTGCTTCCACAGATCAAAATGGAGTAGGAGGTCAGGGAGAGATAGCAACCACTGATGACTGCCACTTTATACTGTCACTTTACCAGCCTTTCCTATACTTTGGGGCTTATAACTGCTCACTGTGTGTCACTTTATAAACTTCCTGAGATCAGTTCAACTCTTCATTTAACAAAATGTTATTGGTGTTGAGACTGAGCTAGACAAATTGATTGAATATATATATTTTAAGCTTTTTTTTTTTTTTTTTGCCAAACTACTTTATTGGACCATACACTAAGATAATGTCATTGGCAGCATCATCTCACATTTAAAACCTATTATAAATTAGAAAACTGTGAACAGTTCTCCAAAAATGGCAATGGCTTTTGCACCAGATAGCAACATAGGACTTCCTTTCCTGGTGTGAGGCTGGTCAGCTTAATGTCTTGTCTAGTGTGACCACATGGCTTGAGAAAATTCAAAATGCTATACAAATAACCTCAACATATTAGTTACTAATTTTATGGTGTTTGAAGGGAACATATGAAACAAATAGATCCATTCTTTTATTATCTTTCATTAGGTTCCGGGAGTAGTTCCAGCTCCAGAGAAGCCACCTGAGCCTAGAACCATTGATGACCCTGCGTCTGTCTTTGTCAGTGATGGTAGTGCCTCTGCTCAGTGTACCATCTCTGCGACCGCTGTCCATCCAGGCCTCCCTGAAAAAACCCGGGAAAACACCAGGGCCCCCCTACTCCACCTGCGGGCTGAGTCTGTTCCTGTGCACCCATCCTGTGGTTTCACTGCTCCCGTCCCCCCAGCCAGGACCTTGGAGAGTAAGATTGCTGCTGCCGTACATGCCAACGGTACAGATGCTTCCAGCAGTCCAAATTATCATTCCTTTGTCACTGCTTCTTCAGCTCCTGTGGATGATGGTTTTCCGATACAACTTCCTCTCCCACAACCTAAACATGCTTCTCAGAAAACTGCTTATTCCTCCTTTGCTAGGCCTGATGTCACCACTGAGCCCTTTGGTCCAGAAAACTGTTTGCATTTCAGCATGACTCCAAACTGCCAGTACCGTCCCCAGAGTGTGCCCCCACATCATAATAAATTGGAGCAACATCAAGTATATGGTTCTAGATCAGAGCCACCTGCCTCCATGGGACCTCGTTACAACACTTATGTGGCCCCAGGAAGAAATGTGTCTGTACACCACGCCAAGCCATGCAACCGGGTTGAGTATGTGTCTTCTTTGAGCTCTTCAGTTAGGAATGCTTGTTACCCTGAAGATATTCCACCCTACCCTACCATCCGGAGGGTACAGTCTCTCCATGCCACCCCATCTTCCATGATTCGTTCTGTTCCCATTTCACGGACAGAAGTCCCTCCAGATGATGAACCAGCGTACTGCCCAAGACCCTTGTACCAATATAAGCCATATCAGTCTTCACAGGCCCGCTCAGATTATCATGTAACTCAGCTTCAGCCTTACTTTGAGAATGGTCGGGTCCACTACCGGTATAGCCCATACTCCAGTTCTAGTTCCTATTACAGTCCAGATGGGACCTTGTGTGATGTGGATGCCTATGGCACAGTACAACTGAGGCCTCTTCACCGCCTACCCAATCGTGATTTTGCCTTCTATAATTCTAGGCTGCAAGGGAAGAACTTGTACAGTTTTCCTGGTTTGCCTCCACGTCCCCGGGCAAATGTGATTGGCTATTTCTCTGGTAATGACCATAATGTAGTCAGCATGCCTCCAGCCACTGATGTAAAGCATACTTACACCTCATGGGATCTTGAGGACATGGAAAAATACCGCATGCAGTCCATCCGTAGAGAGAGCCGAGCTCGACAGAAGGTGAAAGGGCCTGTTATGTCCCAGTACGATAACATGACCCCAGCTGTGCAAGATGACTTGGGTGGGATATATGTCATCCACCTCCGCAGTAAATCTGATCCTGGGAAAACTGGACTTCTCTCAGTGGCAGAAGGAAAGGATGGGCGGTATCCAGCTAAGGCCATGAGTCCTGAGGGAGATGAGCGCTTCTACAGGAAGCATCCAGAGCCAGAGTTAGAGAGAACCCACCACCTCGGAGGCTATGGCAATGGGCAGCCAGAGAAACCCTCCCTCCCACAGAAGCAAAGCAGCCTTAGAAACAGAAAGATTCATGACATGGGTTGTAGTCTCCCCGAGCATAGGGCACATCAGGAATCAAGCCATAGGCAAATGTGTGAATCAAAAAATGGGCCACCTTACCCCCAAGGAGCTAGCCAATTAGATTATGGGTCCAAAGGAATTCCAGATGCTTCTGAGCCAGTCAGCTACCATAACTCTGGAGGGAAATACATTACATCGGGGCAGGATTCTTTAAGACTGAACCATAAAGAAGTAAGGATCTCCAAAGAACTGGAGCGGACCTGGGCAAGGCAGCCTCCTCCCCCAGAGAAGCACTCTAGAGACTGCTACAAGGAAGAAGAGCACCTCACGCAGTCCGTGATCCCACCCCCTAAACCAGAGAGGAGTCATAGCCTGAAACTCCACCATACCTCGAATGTGGAGCGGGACCCTGGCACGCTGTACCAGTACCAGATGCCCAGCAAGCGCCAGAGCAGCACAACTGTCATGTCCCAGTACGACAATCTAGAGGACTACCACTCCCTACCACAGCACCCACGTGGAGTGTTTGGAGGAGGAGGAGGGGGTATGGGGACATATGCACCCTCTGGATATTCCCACCAACAGAACAGGACATATGCCACAGCTTTGGGTCAAGGGGCCTTCCTCCCCACAGAGCTGTCCCTGCAGCACCCTGAGACCCAGATCCATGTGGAATGAGCCTGGAGCAATAGAGTTGAAGCAGCCTCTGCTGGGCAGTGGACTGCTCTATTTTTTTTCAATAACCAAAAAGATTAAGGAAAAAAAAAAAAAAACCTACGAACTCCCAGCCACATTAAATAAATAAATAAATAAATAAATAAATCACCATCTCCCTCTTCCCTGCCCCACTTCATTACCACCTCTTCCACCTATAGACTGTGTCATTTTGTCATTTAAAAAATCTGAATGATTGTAAAGCACTGTGTTGAAAATCTAGTAAAGATATTTGTCACAGACCACACTTGCCATATAGGGCTAATTTGCAAGAGCCTGAGGACTGCCTTTAACTGAATTTGAATTTAGCCTTGTTGTTTCTTCTTAGTCATCATATAGTTCAGAGCAGTTTACATCTATTTCCTGGTAAGCTTTTGCATTTACTGTTGCGTTCCTATTGCTTCAGTAGCCATATAACTTTCCCAGATAGACACTCCATTTTTCTCACTTCATTATCCCTTGTCTTCTAAGGGTCTGGTGTGTTAAATTAGAGTGGAGACAGACTTTTCCCTGACCTTTCGTATATACCAATTGGACATTTAGCAACATTATAATTAAAAATAAAAGAATTAAGACCTAAAATTAAGCAGTTAATAAGGAAAGTGGTTTTCAGTATTCCTTAATATGCCAGACCATTTACACTCAGGCTGAAAAATGCTCTTCATATTCACACTTGTTCCTTCCAGGTCAATATACAGGCTCATATCACTGCAGACAGGATTGTTTAAAACTTAAGAAAACTTCTTAGGTGGAAGAAAGTGAAGTTCTTATTGTCAGTGAACTTTGGTAGCAGTAAATACTAGGCACCTTTAATGTGTTTCCAGCTGTTAAGGTTGTTTTGTTGGTATGTTTTTCTCCCTCTAATATTTGGTAAATTGAAACCCTACAAAACATAGTATACCATTTGTTGTCCTAAAGAAATTTATTTTCATATGGAAAGAAAAACAGCATAGTTTGACTAGATAAGCGATTTATTATTATAAATATACATGTTCATTTGTTTCTAAACCAGAGTACAGGTTCTCTGTTAATTCTTAAAATAGCTATTAATTATCTGTTAGTAATCTCTAAATTACTACGATAACTACTTGGCACACAGGACCGTTTCACCACTTGGAATTCCAGGCAGTTACCATTCAGATGCTCAGTAATTTTATGTTATGTGTTCTCTCTGTACTTGTGTGATCACACTTTTATTGTAATTGCCATTTACACCAGCATTTCAGGTATAGCTCTTTATAACTCTGTAGACATGTTGGACATGTTTAATACCCAGGACTTTCTTTTGAAAGTTGCATTCCTTATTACAGTAGGACAGGACACCTCTCTAGCCCAATTCCAACTCAATGCAATATTTTTAATTCACCCCATCACCAATAATGCCAGGTTAGCAATGCAGCCCTGTATTTACTAAATGATTTTGGATTGTCAGTGCATCCTGTAAGGCTTAATAATGTTTGAGTTTTATATATTACCATATTTAAAGAGCTCGGTTTATAGACGTCACTAGGGAAAGTTCATTCCATTTACTGGATGATTGCTGCTCTGGCTTTTTAAAACTTGGAATTAATTTTTGTTTAGAGCAAAGGAGAAAATCTTTCAAGAGGCAAGAATCATGCTGCTATTATTGCTGTGAAATTGTATAAAGATTAGGATTCATGCCAGTTCCTTTTTTATTTAAAAAATCATGTGACTGCATTTTAAGGGTTTATATTTAGAAAAAGAAAGTTTTAAGGACAACACATTCACATGTGGAAATAACTCTATAAGGTTTTTCTTTTGTTGTCCCAGAAATGACCAGAGGGATTCAATAAGGATTATAATGGAAATTTCAAACACTAATGTGCAAAGGTCTGTGGAACTTAGGCCTCTATATCAAAAGTACAGACCCAACTGGTATATAATCAAAATGTTAAGGAAACCTGATAGGATACTTCCATTTGGCACACAGTTACACCGGGTGCTTTATGTAGGAGTTTGATCTTTGGTGAATATACAGCACTAACTATTTCACCTTAACCATCTTTTTGTCCAGTAAGCTCCTCTGAGATCACACCAGCCTTGTCAGTACTCACCAGCAGCCTGGAGATGAAGAAGAGCTGGTGGGACTAGGGGATGCACGAAGTAGTCCTGTCCAATTTTAGTATTTGTGAATTTGTTGTCACACGTTGTTTACTCCTAAAACTAAAGTCTATATTTACAAATACTACTATTAATTCCTTAAAGCAATTTCTTATTAATAGTGGGTTTAGAATTATCAGGTAAATATTTTGAATACAGAATAGTGACTCAAATTACTGGTTTAAGTGTGAAACAAACTCTAGATAAAACCTAGAGTTATTTCATTAAATGTATGTAGATACAGCCTTATTAATTTTAGAATCATTTATTTGAAGGATTTTACCTGTATCTTTCCCTTCCTAATATTATAGGGTAGTAATTGGATGGCAAATCACTGTGAATCAGGTTACCTTAGCACAGTTCACCTTATGTGTGACTTCACAAAAAACAGTAACTGAATGTTAGTACTCTCAAATTTTGACATGGAACATTTGATCAAGAAGATGAAGCGGCCTTACATATTAGAACATAAATTTAATTCTCTTGATATTTTCATAGCCGTGTCTCCATATTTTATCTTTTGGGCAAAATTTTGATCCCACAGTTTGGTTTGAAATATCCTTTGGAAGTCTAGCTAGAAACTTTGTTCATAGCCCCAGAGGTGCCATTTTAATTTAATAAATCTCATTCAAGCCTATTACTTAGTATATTTAGTTTCCTTTTAAATATGCAAGTCTCTGGGATAGTCCAAGGGTAGGGCCTTCACATTTCTTATAAAGGACAAGAATTTTTTTAATATAGGGTCAGGTTGAAAAACTCTAAGACTAATACTTGCTACTGTAAAAAAGAGGGACCGTTAATGTGAGTGGTGGTGGAAGAGTAGGATATGGCATTCAAAGCAGCAATAGATGCATACAATGTAAATTTGAAATGTACCCCTGTAGTTACGGAGCCTGCAAAGTTCATTTCTCTTTGTTCCTAGCCATATCAGTCACCCATCCAGTATATTGGCAAACTATTGCCTAAGCAGAGTATGTAAGGAAATCATAAAGAAAGCAACAGTATGTCAGAAAGTTACTTCCTGACAGTTAAAGGCATGTGATTTTCAGTACTGTGTGTGACAGAAATGGCAGGAATGGTGTAAACTGAGTGCAAGATAATGTCTGTGCACAGATTGTCTTTTCTCCTTACCTGATTAGTACTGTTAATGTTCAAAGAATTAAAAATGGTTGTTTTACAGTTTAGATTCTGAGATAGCAAAACCCTATTTTTTTTTTTTTTTTTTCAGCCGTGACCTGCATGAGAGAAGCATCCTAGAAAGTCTTAGACCATACCTTTGCATTCTTTAATTTATATAGGGTGTTTTTTCTTTTTATGTTTTAATATTTTTGTGAAGTGGTGTAAATTGTTAATGCACATAAGCTTGTGTATTTTTGTAAATAATTTTGTGGTTTATTTCCTGCCCTATATGTAAATATTGAGTCTCTCTCTCTCTCTCTCTTTTTTCAAACTTATTTGAAGCTAACTTGTGGATTTGGGATTTTGTTTGTTTCTTTGTTTTGGTTGGGGAGGGGGGAGAGGGGATTTTGTACTCTTGATAATCCAGATGGAGATTCTTCTGGTTTAACACAAATGTCCTACTGAAAGCAATTCAAATATCAACAGAATTATTTCAGGTTAAAACAGACTTCTTGTGTATGTGTTTCCTTTTTTTTTTTTTTTTTGACTTAATATGAATTATAACAAAACAGAGTAATTGACTTAGGGTATTTGGACCAAAAGATACCTATTATTATGCCAAATGTTATGTTGAGGGAAAGGGTTAAATGTGTCCTGTTTCTGCCTTTTTACCACAGTATGCTACCTGACCACATTCCCCCCCAGGTTACACACTAATATCTTTAGAATTACAGAAGGCTTTTCATATGTACCAGAAAGTAGACAGATAACGCTACACTCAACGCTGTACTAAAGACACCACTATGCCCTGGTTCCCAAGCTTGAAGTTCCTAGAGTATAGAATTGGCTTCTTATCTAAAGATTTCCACAAAGCATCTTGGGCACATCATGTTTACTCTTACGGGTTAAACGCCCAAAATAGAACCACTCTCCTAGATCGCTTCTTCTGTGGGAAACTGACTTGTGGCAAACCCAGATACAGCAGGATTTCAGTGAGAAGAGTTGCTAAGATCTGAACAAAGTGCTGTGAGCAACCAAGTTGCCCAACAGGTCCAGAGCTTATTCCTGTGTCAAAGTTCTCAAAAAAATTTCCGTATCAACCTGGATTTAAAAGAAAGAAAAACTTCAATATTCAGCTACTGAAATGCAGTTTTCCTACTAATTTTCATTAATTACAAATCATTCCTCATTTTTCATGTTAAGGTATTAGAGGCATAACTGCAAGCAATAGGGAAAGTCACCTATTTAGGCAACATGACATTGAAGAGCCAGTCACATATTTTATACACCTGCATACCACACTCCAGACTCTAAGCAAAGGTAGAACATCTGCTTTCGATAAATGCTCCGATGGAATATGTGTTTCCATGGGAAACAGCTCAACTGGGACTGAAGAAAAGACATGCATGACATTTCCACTAGGTCTTTCAACATTTGATTTTTCTGGAACATTGATTTATATGCCAATGATTTCATCAGCAATTTTCTTCTTACTGATGAAAATATAGTACCTACCTCTGAAAATAATTTATCATTGAGGACTCTGTGCCAAATTCATTGAAGTCCGAGCTTTTAGTCATTGGCAGTTTTAAAGGAAAAGGCTTGTTTTAAGGTAATACTGATTTTCCCTGTTAGTGTAAATTTTGGCATCTGGAACCCACCAGAAATAAGCCATTTCACATGGTCATGCTTTTCACATAGTTGAGAGTACAGTGCTGTAAAAGCAAAATTTTAAGGTTTAACTTTTATTTTAAATATTTTGATTAAAATATTTACAGACTATAAGCCACAAACTTTGCTGCCAATATACTTAAAGGTCCATAATTTCTATCTATGAATTACTATAATATAGTTGTGCATTCCAGGATACATTGAGGTAAAATAAGTGGCATTCTTTAATCTTGATTCTACAACAAATGGTCTAATACCACTGCCTTCATATTTTGTATGTCTTTGTTCTCTAGTTTTTCTGTATTCCTCTGTGCTTTCTGCTGCCATTTCTTGTTATTGTCTATGAACTCTGTAACCATTCATCCTCTTTCTGTTTGTGATTCTAGCATATCTTGAAAATCATGTAAGTAAGCTTGCTAGCAAAATAAGTTCTGAACTGGGATCCTGGAAGGTTCTGAATTGTGTCAATAAATTATCAGTACAATTTGCTACCATTAATGCAATCACTATACAGTCATCTAGTTTTGCTACTCAAAAGGTCTCATTCTTTTCTCTAAACAAATTGCTCAGATAGCTGGGTTTCAGAAAGAGATCATTGCATAAGGTACTTATAAGGGAGAATGAAAGACTAAGAGTTCTTCTTGCATCTAACATTTTATGAGAAAGCTATATAAGTTAATGGTTTCAAGTTATTTCTCCCGATAGAGGAATACTAGTACATAGAAAACATTTAACATCCACAATGAACTCTAATGGGAAGAGAAAAAAGGGTGTTGTGCAGTCATGCAGCCTCACTGCTCATTGAATTAGTGGGGAGTTTTTTCCTTAATTCCCCTGAAACCATTTTGAAAAGTATCCTGGGATTTGTCAGCAGCTGCTTTGTGTTTTAAACTGGGCAAGTCATTGTCCAACTTTAGAAGCCATGTAAAACACCTGAGGAACTAGTTAAGATTCCTTTAGCAGCCACTAGGAAGTCTGACTAAGTAATTCTGGGATTGGATTCAGG